AAGACGAGATGAGACAGGAGAAAGAGCAAGAGAGAACAGAGCAAGGAAAGAAAGAGAGGAAGAATGGAGAGAGAAAGGAGAATAGTGGAAGATCAAAGGAAAGAGAAGGGTGAGAGAAGAGAGGTAAGACACGGTTGGGTGTGTGTGTGTGGGGGGGGGGGGGGGGGCGATAAGAACACTGAGCGCCAAAATAGAATTAGGAAATCTCTAAGTGAGGCCACTTCTCCGGTTCCTACCCTCTCCCAAAGTGAATGTGGCCGTGGTCCATAAACAACAGTGCTAACCCCTACTGCCCCGTGCTTGTCCTATCTGCCTGTGACAACAATAGTTCAATTTCTTACACTTAAGGCTGGTGACCTGAGAGCCAAGGTCATTTTATGAAGAAAAAAGTCCAGGGGATCCCAACCCACCACTGGTGGAAAATAGAGCAGGTTTACCCACACACACATAAATAGGTCAGGGCAGCAGTGGACTTCGTTTTATTTCTGGTTTTCCAATTACAGAAAGGAGGGGGGAGAGGAGGTGGTGGAAGGTGGTGTAGAAGGCTGAGATGGTAAGGGTGAGACAGAGGAGGTGAGAAAGGTGAGAGAATAACGTGGGTACTGAGACAGGGAGAGAAAGAAGGGAGTAAGAAATAAGATGAGATATAGAGGGAAGAAGGTAGCAGGAAGGGGTGCACCCCCCCCCTCCACTTAGGTGTCATCAATGTGGGAGGAGAAAGGGGAGGGGGGGGGGGGTTGACGGCAAATGTGTTTTTAAAAGTACACATATATTTAATGTGTCTGTGAGGGAGGGGGAGTGGTGGGCATAAAATTTTCTGCACTAGGCAACACATAACCTTCTACGCCAACTGAAGGTACGGAGAAAAGGGGGGGGGGGGGGGTGAGGAAGAGCGGAAAATACAAAGAGAAAGAGAGAGGAAAGCAGTGACAGACAGGCAGAGAGCGAGGAACAGGTAGGACGTGAGGGGGCAGAAAGAGAGAGGAAAGCAGTGACAGACAGGCAGAGAGCGAGGAACAGGTAGGACGTGAGGGGGCAGAAAGAGAGAGGAAAGCAGTGACAAACAGGCAGAGAGTGAGGAACAGGTAGGACAAAATGTGAGGAAGCAAAAAGAGAGACAGAGATTAAGGCCGCTAAGAAAACAAACACATCAAAAGAAAATATCCACTATGTTCGCTCTGAACGACCCCCCCCCCCCCCCACCATAATACAACTTCCTGTGTACTTGAGTTGCTAGAAAAAGAGTTATGAAGCGGCACATTTACTAAACTTTTAAACAAGAAATAAAATAGGGAAAAAAGGGGGGAGGGGAGACAGGTAATGAGAGAGTAAAAGGAAAGATAGAGAAAGAGAAGAAGATGAAGATCAGAAGGGAGGGTTAGAGACAATGCAGGAGACAGGAAGGAAGGAGCAATAGGTAGAAGAGTGAAAGAGGGAGGGGAGAGAGAGGGGGGTGAAACAACAGAAGAGGAAATCTCGGGGAATTACAATACTGATAGCCAAACACACTGTAAAGATAAAACCAGGCCAAAATAGAACTGGGAAATCCGGCTGACTTCACTTTGCTTAGCCCCAATGCCGTCTCTAATTAATAGAGAAGGCTGTGCTTAGCACCCACCACGACCGACTATTTATAAATACAACCGAACCGAGCCCCACCATCTCCCAATGTAATCCTTTCTAGAAACCACGGCCATAAATATATTTATACTATTAATTCTGCCAGACTCACACAAAGCACACACACACACACGAGGCAGCTGCTCCTTCCCGCCCCATGCCACGCCACGCTGTCTGCATGTATTCATGGGCTGCAACACAGCCTGCCCTTCCCCTGGCCTTTAACAAGCCATTTCGGCTGAAAATAGCCAATAATCAGGGGTCCTATTACCTTAAACGACCTTAAACAAAAGTAGGCAAAACTAGCTAAACTGCTGAAAATTACAGAACTTTTGACAATCTCATTGTGGCGGTCAAAATTCACGGTTTCTCAAGGTCAGAATGTCTTTTTCCTGGTCAAAATCCCTGTTTCTTGTTGGAGAAAAAAATTCATGGTAAATTCAAGATTTCCCGGTCCACTAAGAACCCTGTACCAAGCTGTGCAGAGCCAGCCAGTCTGTCCGATTCTTCATTTTCCAACACAATAGGTGACCCACTTAACACTGTGTTTGGCCCAAAGTAGATGGGAGCTGATGATTCTATTCCAATAGTGAAATCATGTCAATTCCAGTTGAAACATTACACCACATATTGAAGTGCTGCATTCACGCTGACCTCAACATGTTTAGCTTAAATTTCAGAGTTAGACGTATACCTTAGACATACTGTATTTTCCTGTGCATAAGACAATGTTTTCCCAGACACTGTCAGGTCGAAATTGGGAGTCATCTTTGCGGTGTGTTTAAAATATTTATTTCCGGAAAAAAATTGGGGGGGGGGGGGGGGGCTGTGTGTGTGGAATAAAAGTCCTTTATACATGCAGAAATAGGATAAGTTGACATCAAGTTTGAAAACTGATTTGTTAAGGCCAGATTTACCGCAATTTACAGTATTTAATGTACTAAGCAATAAACTGTGTGCTTTTATATCTGTTGCATTTTGGTCAAAGCATAGAAAACAAACATGGCTAGATACTTGAAAGTGCAGCACAGAAAATGCTGACACTCTGACAGTACACACACGTGTTTACTGCCTCCTCTTAGCATGTTAAGAGTAAAAGAGGTAAACAAACAAAGCTATCACAAACAGAAAAGATTAATCCCCAAACACAAACTCTTTCACAAACAAATAGATAATTTAATTCAAATTCAAAGACAATAATCCACAAACACAAGCTCGCTCACAAACAGATAAGCTTCCCCACAAACATAAATACAACACTCATTTTCTATTTAAAAAAAAATTTTAAACACTACCACAGATGATTGGTTGTTTACCTTCCAATGATTTAACAGCGTGCGGTTTGTGTCGAAGCTGTGGTTTAAAGGGCAGGTTACTGTTGTCTATCTTATCCCTGAATCTCAGTTGTGGTCGCTGAATATTTCTGGCAGTCATGAGTTTATAGGCAACTTCTGGTTTGCTGGCACGAGCTGCTGGCTGCAGATATAAAGGGCACATGCTCAACAAAGGAACTGTATAACAGGACAAGAAAATACTGTTTACGTGTAAAGATTAAAGATCTCATCAACAGTATGTCCTCATACACACAAAAAAGTAACAAGTAAAGGATCCTTTTCCACAATTTAAGGCATATAGGGCTAGACTTATATTTTATAGGCAATCGGCACTTTGTCGGTGATGTGGTCAGCATCACGCCAGCCACTTTTACTTCCCAGGACTTTTACGTGGTACCCATTTAAGGCTGGCTCAACCTGGGAGCCGAGGTTAAGTTTGAAAAAAGTCCAGCCTTGTCCTGATCTGAACCAACAATCTTTGGATCCGCAGACACGTGTCTTGCCGCTACACCACCTGACTCCCCTCTTAAATAAAATGGCAAATGTTTACAGAGAACACCCCCCCCCCCCCGCACCCATTCTGCTACCAATAGAGATGTAAATCTCTCAATCACACACATATACACAAAAAAACTCATGTTGATGAACAATAATATATACAGGATCTATCTAGCAAATGTTGAACAATCCCATATACACTATCAATCTAGCCATGATGATTGAGAACAATCCCATATATAAATACTGTTAATCTATCCAACCGCCCCCTATTACTGCCTGTATTTACAATTTTGCTGTGTAGACCTGCGGGTGGGGGGGGGGGGGTGGTAAGGTGTCTTTAAACTTGAGGATTACGACCACATGGCTAGTGCTGTTGCCATGGACTGTGCAGGTCAAGACAGGACAAAAATCCCCAACTTATCTGGAGCATAAGACCCCAGCGTTCTTAATGTCAATCTAAGCAATGCTGATTAATTTCCTGAAAGACGCAGTCATCAAAGTGACAACTGATTACCTGAAACATTTCTTCTTCTTCTTCTTCGCGTTCACCAGCTGTACACTTTGGCGGAAAGTTCTGGTTGCTTGCCCACTACTGAACTGCAGTCCTGCTCCAGAACCTGAGTGTTGCGTGTGCATCAGTTTTACAGATCTCATTCTCTTGAATACAGACTGTTGGTTTTTTGCCTCTCCGGCAGATGCACTCCGACTTCAAAGGAAGATCCCAATTAGTCGACTCTTACGACATGCTTTTGGGGAGGCAGTGGGTCTATTCTTTTCCCCCCACAATGGGGCCCCGGAACCCACACGGGGGCCTGAAACATTTAAAATAAAAGGAAAAGTACTGTGTACAAACTATCTCATATAACAATTCCTCAGGAAGCTTGCCAGTTTGTCTTGTCTAGTAAAACTAAATCTTACTTTATTCCAGCCGCTGGTTTTGGCATTTGGTGCTGCTGCTGACACGATCACAAGCTTTGTTTCCTCTTTGCGAATTCCTGAGGCTTCATCCAGAAGAGTTCCCTACAAAAGAGAAATATCCAAAATGAATCATCACTGGTACAGCTCATCGTGCAGCAATAAACAATTCATAACACAATCAAGTGAAGAGATTTTGAACAACGGACCAACATCTTGGCACACAGGTAGTAACCCATAAGTGCTAAGTTCTTCTTCTAACTCAAGCCTGAGTCCGAAGAAGCTCAGCACTGTGCACAGGCTCTGTAGCACCAGCAAGGATCCTGAAACACTTGAACATTTTTTGGAATCAATCTGTTGTGGCCTGTCCTTAGTCTGAAATATGACACACTGTCCCTCTCAAGAAAGTTAATGAAGCCAGTCTTGGGGACAGGGATGAAACTCTTAACATGAAGAAATATCTGTAACATCCTAATGCAATCACCGCTAACTCATTGAAATTCTGAAGTGACCCAAGCAAATATGGACTCATCCCCACAGTTGTTCTGTTTCTCATCCCAAAATAACCACACACAACGTCCATCATTGTCCCTTGTGAAAAAAAAAAAAAAATTTCAGCAGAATGCAGTCTCAGTGAGGGCCAATAGCAAACACATGCAATAAATGCATAAGGCAGTTGTTAGAAGTGACAACACAAACTGGCTCTAGAAATGCAGTTAACTGTTGATCATTAGTCGCACATGCAGTTAACTGTTGATCATTAGTCGCAAATGCAGTTAACTGTTGATCATTAGTCGCACATGCAGTTAACTGTTGATCATTAGTCGCACATGCAGTTAACTGTTGATCATTAGTCGCACATGCAGTTAACTGTTGATCATTAGTCGCACATGCAGTTAACTGTTGATCATTAGTCGCACATGCAGTTAACTGTTGATCATTAGTCGCACATGCAGTTAACTGTTGATCATTAGTCGCACATGCAGTTAACTGTTGATCATTAGTCGCACATGCAGTTAACTGTTGATCATTAGTCGCACATGCAGTTAACTGTTGATCATTAGTCGCACATGCAGTTAACTGTTGATCATTAGTCGCACATGCAGTTAACTGTTGATCATTAGTCGCACATGCAGTTAACTGTTGATCATTAGTCGCACATGCAGTTAACTGTTGATCATTAGTCGCACATGCAGTTAACGGCATAATGCACACCCAGTTCTCTGCCAACAGGACACCTGCCAGTTTTGAATCTACCAGTCACAACACAAACCACCTCTGGCAGTCAAAAGCATTCCTGTTTGTCAGAAGTAAAAACTTGCCACCACTTCAAATAGGAAGCCTGCCAATCCACCATATTAACAGGGAAAAATCATAGCTATAAGGAAAATACTGGACAACTTGACAAGTAGAAATATTTATGGGAGCACAGGAAGGAAAATAAAAAAATACCTATATGACTTATCACAAGTCAAGATGGAGACAAGAATATGTCACACCATTCTTATTCTTTTGGTTTTATTCAATTAGAAAACTGGTTGGCAACCTGCATTGCGGTTTTCAGCTGGGCTGGGATATATGTATGCCTGTTACCCTCAACACATCTTCTGCCCCCCCCCCCCCCACTCATGTAAGTTGACTATAACTATCCACATTGGCTGGCATGCACAAGATGATGATGATGACAAGCATATTTCTTCTTCTTCTTCTCTGCATTTACCAGCTGTAAACTCCTGTGGAAAGTTCTGGTTGTTCATCCACTTCAGTCTTGCTCCAGAACTTGAGTTTTGCATGCACAACAATTTTACAGATCTGACATTTGTTTTCAGACTGTTGGTCCCTCAATGCTGATGTACACGGACTTCGTGGTAAAAACACCTGATTAGTCGCTGCGTGCGACATGCTTGTTAGGGAAATAGTGAGTCTATTCTTTTCTTCCCCTAAAATAAGGCCCAGAAACACTCCCACGTGGAAAAAAGATATTTAACAGAAATTACCGCTCGCTCCAGGATCTGATCATTGGCATCCATGAGGACATCGAACTGATCCTCCAGCTCGGAGTTTTCATGGTGTAAGTTACCCCTGAGGTTCTGGTGGCGCAGCAACTTCTGTAATCTAAAATTCAAACTCGTATGACAATTTCATTACTTGCTAAAGAATCGACATCAGCAGAATCGACTGCTGCAGCAAAGGTCGTGAAATATAGTTGCTGACAATCCAGCTTTAAATTGGCAGTCCACACATCATACTCTTTCTCTCAAACTTCTTTCTTGCTGGACTCATGCTTACTTCTAAATTTTCACAGCCTTGAATATGTTGCTTCTTGTAACATTGTATCTTTCATTAGTATTCACTCATAAACTTTTGCAGGGTACTTTAAGGTTCAAATATTCAACTGGTATTTTTTTAGGTTCAGCTATTCAACTGGCATATTTTAGGTTCAGCTTTTCAACTGGCATATTTTAGGTTCACCTATTCAACTGGTATCTTTTAGGTTCAGCTATTTAACCCTTTCGCTGCTACGTTCCCGGAAATAGTTGTCCTCCCTGTGCTAAGCAATGTGAAAAAAAAAAGTCTCTGCTGTGCGCAATACTTTTCTATCCTCTAAACGCAAAAGATGCGTCCGCGGTGAGGGCTATGTTTTGTACACCTAAAAAATTTTACCCTGGGGAATTGTGTGGTTGGTCCGAGTGGTGACAAGTCAGAGGCACGATGGTGCCCACAAACTTGACTAACGGAGCTATCACCCTTCTCGGGGGGGGGGGGGGGGGGGGGGTTAATGGGAGGAACTGTTCCCAGTCCGTATCCCAAAATTTGATTGACGAACCTACCACGGCTGCCACTTTAATCATATTTACTTGTAGTCACCATGTTATTACATACCAAAATAAGTTTAAAAAAATATTCATAATAATACCCAAGTCGTCCGTTGCTGAAAAGTAGGAGGAACTCAAAGGAAAATTTACAATTAATAAAAAAAAAAAAAAAAAAACTTCATGGGTTGAACACACGACCCTCCGATTCTAAGGCGAACGTGATACCGATTACACTATGCTACCGCTTGACGCATTGCGCTGTGTAAATGATCATAATGAATGATGTGCGCAGACTATCAATAATGTGTCTAAGTTTGTAGTCTATCGCCGCCTGCATGAGCACTGTTGTCTAAGAAATGTTTGAGATTCTCAACAATAGTAAAAATACGTCCCTCAACAATATTTCACGGGAGTTTTGCTCAAGTACTCTATTTTGAGTTTCTTTGTTCTAAGCATTAGCAGACAGACAGAAAAAAAAATTAGTTCGTCCGAATCTGTGTCTGTCCATCGGAAAAGACGAGAAATTTTAGTGACTTAACTGTTTGAATTTACAGTAGCAGAAATACAGATAGAGCTGGAGTCATCAAAATCATGCACTACTGGTTTCAAATCATCGGTTCATCAAGATAACTGATCAATTTATTGCCCTTTTGATGGCGCTTCATTGTCGCTGCTTTCTGATTCCGACGATGAGGACGTCGGACAGGCAAACAGCATTTTTTGGACACGCCGGTTTCAGCAGTCGATACTGATGGCCTAGTCAAATCTTCTTGTTCACTGTCAGTAGTACACATTTCAAAGTCATCTTCGCTATCAGTTTTTGACAGAAACTCCATCAATTCTTCATCAACTTTAACAAGTTTTCTTGCCATTTTGTACCAAGTGTAGAATAATCCAAAAGCACAAATATATATCAGGGCACAAAATACACAGATCACCGACCACGCTGTCACGGTAAACAAAGCAACGGGATAACGCAAAATGCAGTAAATACGCCTTAAACACACCTAAAAGTACGTGCCAGTGCTTTTAATCATATGTAAATGGGTCAGTTTAATCTAAATATAGCTAATGTATATTGCCCTTCAGCCAATAAAATACGAGGTAACAGAAATCTGTAAGAAAAGTCCAAAAACGGCTTAGGACGTCCATAGCAATGGGGGTCAAGAAAAAAAATAACGTCCAAAGACGGGCGTAGCAGCGTACGGGAAATCGGGAAAAGACGTCCATAGCAGCGAAAGGGTTAACTGGCATATTTCAGGTTCAGCTTTTCAACTGCCATCTTATACTGGCTTATACCAGTGCTACTCAATTAAGTTAACTTAGGGACCAAAATGCTGAAAATGGAGATCACTATGGTCCTGGAAGCTATTCAACACTGAAAGGGAAACAGAGGTGGACATTTAATCAGGATGCAGCTGTTACTATTAGCATGTCAGCTCTTCACTGGCTACTGAAAGAGAGAACGAAGCACTTGTGGGAGTGTCGCGAGCGCAGTGATGTCAATGCTTATTTCTTTCTGACGTGACTAATCAATTCCCTTTGAGAGTTGTTTGCTTGTGTTAACCAGCTATATACTATGCCCGAAAGTCCTGGTTGTCTGTCCACTTTTGGACTTTGGCTTTATTCCAGGGCCTGAGTTATGCGTGCGCATCTGTTTAACAGATGTGGCTTACCTTTATACAGACGGGTAGATCCTCACTTCTCAGGCAGATGAACTTCAACTCTAAAGGAAACATCCTGAATCAGTCGCCTGTATAACATACTTGTTAAGGGGGGCAGCTGGTTATTTCTCCCCCTCCCGAGATTTATTTATGCTAGTGTGAAATAGAAGTCAATCAGATTTATGCCTGCATGTTATGAAAGACTGAGATTTATGCCTGTGTATAAAGGAAGATTCACGGAGATGTATGCCTGCGTGTAATGGAAGAATCACTGAAATTTATTTATGCTTGTGTGATGTAATGGAAGAGTCCTGAGATTTATTTATGCTTTTGTGTAATGGAAGAGTCACTGAGATTTATTTATGCTTGTGTGCATTAGAAGAGTCACTGAGACTTCTTAATCATAATAAGATACAATTACTCACAAGGTTAAAATTCTGCGCCCCTCAAAGTCCAGAACGTCACGCACAGACCGGAATGTGGAATAAAAATCAAAGTCATCCCCAACAGGCAGGTCATTGGAGCTGCGGGTTGCCATGAGAACAGAACGCAGAGCTTTCTGAAGGAAGATAATTATAAAGAATGATATCAGACAACAACAAAAATCTGGCAACAAGGTTAGCATTGGACTGGATGATTTCTTGGCATTTCTTCTTCTTCTGTGTTTATTCTCTGAAGGGTAGTTGGTGCGATGTCTTGTGATTTACAGCTTTGCTTTGCATTCTTCAGCCCAACACATCTGTTTTTTTAACTGCCACTGCTGTGTGTATCAACCACTTTTGTGGTGTAGGCATAGAGGTCTTTGAGCCTGAGGGTTTAAGTACTTTTGCCCCAGACAGAAACAATTCACAACTTTATCAAGGATTAGAACCTGGGTTTCCCATTTCAGAGCCCAGCATTCTTAACCAGTTGCTCCTTATGACTCCATTTTGTGGGGAATAAAAAAAAAACCAGTTGATCCACTTCCCTTCTAAGAAGTATGTCAATAAGGATGTTCCCTTCAAAGTCGGAGTGCAAGGAACCAACAGTCTGCATTCAAATTATCCAGATCTTTAAAACAGATGTGCATCAACACTCCAGTTCTGAAACAAGACTTGAGTCCGAAGCGGATGAACAACCAGAACTTTCTGTCAGAGAATACAGAAGTGAAAGCAAAAAGGACTTTGTGAATGTGAGGCTGCCTCGTTCTAGTTCTTTTCATCTGATCTGTTATTATTATTTGGTTTCGTAATTAAAAATAGATATGACTGAATAAGTCAGTATTATTAATCAATTTAACTTGTTTATAAGTTTAATATTCTAACTAACCACCATCATTTCATTTTTAAAATGTTATAAGTTTTAACTAGATTGATCAAAACCTCTCCTGCACTCTTGTGTACCGGTGCAACTTTTTGGCTATTTTCCAAATAACTACCCCAAATTATCAAGGCCGAAAATATACCCTAACAGGGCCTGTCACATGTCAACTGCGGACTTCCAACACCGCCGAGAGTATCTCCCACGCCGCTATGGATTGGGGCTAAGCTAGATGGCTGGGACTCACAAGCAAATAAAATAAAGGAATGAAGGAAGATGCAGGAGATGCGGTAGCTGCTGCTCGTGAGTCCCAGCCATTTAGTTTAGCCCTAATCCACGCCGCGCGTGCGGCGTGGGAGATACTCTCGGCGGTGGTGGTAGTCGCTGGAAGTGCGCAATTTAAGTCGCCGGAAGTCCGCAACTGACA